ATTTGGAATTAGTTTGGAAATAAGTACTACTAGAGTACAGAAGGTAATAAATGGTACCATATTAAGAATAGAGTTCGATTTATGTTGGGATCAAAATCGAAAAATGCAATCAAACCCCCTAAAAAAGAAAAAAAATTGGGCGTTGAGGACCTATATTTATAATTTTTAGTGGGGAAATTTGGGGCCCAATTAGAATCCAATGTACCAAATTTCAAAGAATTCAGTTGATGTTGCGATGTTGCCAATCTTCGAACTGGACCTGCCTGCAGACAAAATAAGATACTAAATTAAAAAATATACTAAAATTTGAATTGTGGTCGATATTTGTGTGTAGGTTGATCACCTCTTCTGGCATATGCAGTTTCTGTGAAACCAACATAATATGTTAAGAAATGTTTAAATACTGTGTGCAACAAAGTCAAATGCCATAATTTTTAAATTTTATGGAATGAAAGCAAAAAATAGCATACAATTTTAGAAAAAGTTTAGATTTGTTGGAATTGGTCACCTTTGGCACGAATTATAGCCTTTAAAGGCCAATGAAACCGTAACACGCTGCCCGAATGTTGCTCTGGTCCATTCCCGGCGAAGCACTTGCTTGAGGTGATCGACACTTTGGTATTTTTTAGTGCCAACCTTGCTTTCCAAAATACTCCAGACCCAATAGTCCAACGGATTGATATCCGGAGATTTTGGTGGTCATTGTGCGCTGGAAATGAAGCAAGGAACCTTATTTTGTAATCATTCTTGGGTTGTGCGTGCTGAATGCGATGGTGCTGAGTCCTGTTGGAATATCCAAGGTTTGCGGCCAAAATTTTGTGTGCCCAAGGGTTTAATACACCCCTCGCGTTAATATTCGGAATTTATTCTGACGCTACGGTCGATTAGTACGAGCGGAGAACGACAATCGTCTGTTATGGCGGCACACACCGTCACCATGGTCGGCGCTTGAGTTCTGGTGGCCAATCGAAGGTGCACATTTTCAGCTGACCTCCTTGGCAAGTAAACACGATCATTTTGTTTCTTTACAAATTGCTGGAAAACGAATGTTTTCTCATCGGAGAAAACCAAATTCGGCAGTTCACCACTTTCGTCCAAACGAAGCAAATCTTTAGCTATTTTGAGTCTATTTTCTTTCGGTTAGGGTATATTTTCTCTCATTTTTGGAATTTCAATGGCTTTACCACGAGCTAACTTTTCAATATATGTCGAATTGAATATTGCGAACGAACAATTTTTCTGCCACTGCGACGCGGCAATCTGAAGTTGATTGTAGTTTTTGCATCTCACCCTGCAATTCCCACAATTGCCAACGAAGTAGCATTCATATGCTAGTATACGATGTGTAATATAAATCCAAGCATCGGCAATTTCAGGATTTCCTATGTTTAAACATAGGTCCATGTTTTGACATATGAAGTTAGTTTGAAGGTTGAAACTATTTCCGACACCATAGAAAATTTGCCATCCAAAATTCCATTGCTGCAATTTAGTATTACCAGAGAATAAAATACCACCTTGCAGAACATTTTCATATCATCCCAAAAATCATCTAAAAAATATATACAACTTATGGTATTTTGAAAATGTCATTGTATTTTTTTGGTTCCTTATTGTAGAGGACATATAAAAGTTTGGCCAACATATCGCTGTTTTTACTTTAATTGGTAACATTAACCCTTAAAGGCTTCGTGCCATAGCAGTGTAAATTTCCCCCACCATAGTATGAAGGTAATTTTTCATAAAATGTTCTTTTATCTGCAGACAGTTCAAGTTTGAAGATGGGTCGGTCCACGTTTTGGCATAGCCTCCATATATATGGCTACCCCCAAGGCGAGTTTGGGCAACCGAAATGGTTGTTTTGGCATTTTGGAGCCAAATATCTCAACAAATCTCCCATACAACGGTATTCGCCAAATATCAGTATTTTGGGGGTTTTGGCTTCAAATTGGCCTTAAAATGGTATGTTGGGTTCTAATTGGATACCAAATCTTCTTCCCGCTTTAATTAATTTTCCACACCCATAATTTGGGCTTTTTATGCATCGCCACTCAATATACCTCCCCAATTATAACTTTGCATTTTCGGTATTTCCAACAATACTGGTTCCAGTTAAGAAATAGCCTCATATAACTTTGCCTTTTAAATTACGACATTTTGAAAATTTTTGACACATGCTCCATTCCATGCGTTTATAACATCGGCTATTAAACTTTGCTGAATTTTGTATTTCGTGTGGATTCTGGTTTACAACATTCGCTTTCTGCTGATATCGCAGATTTTAGTTACACTTCCGAACCTCATTCGATGTAGTATAGTTACACGTGGTGTTGGAACCTTCATTTCATCTAACTGCCAGAATACCTTTGGTGATGGGTATCAAAAGTTCGACTCGTCGTTATGATCGGTCGCATAACGACTGTTTCACTTGATCATTACTAGTTCGTAAGGTGTAGAAATCATACAGTGTAAATGTGTTTGGCAACATTTTTTTTCGATGTATTACATATAAATTTCGGCAACCTTCACACATAATATGTAAGGGTTATAAAAAAATATGAAGACTTCAGATATTTGTCATAAATATAATAATTTCTTATGGACGGACTTCAAACGTACCGAGTAGCAAATTGCATTTTATTGGCTACTCAGTATATAAAAATTGCAATACTTAGAAAATATTATTGGGTAACAAGAAAAACTGAATTTCTTTTTATGTGGTTCAATTTTACATAGATTTTGAATTCTTAATTGTATCCATAATTTTCATAAACGCACTTCGAAATAAAATAAAGGGAAACCCTTCGCAACTAACAAAAATGTGTTCCCACTTTAAGCTCAATGTTGTTTATGTATGTAGAAAATTCCAAGTACTCCCATATTGCAAAACGTTGCATTGCTAAATAAAATTTTAATATAAAATGTTGTGAAAACACCAAAACCCTAATTGATTTTATGGATATAAAAAAAAAATAAAATATATTATTAAAAATAATATAAACTTTGGTGTTTTCATAAATTTAAAATTATATTTAGCAATGTAATGCAAGAAATGATGATTACTTAATCTATTCCACCTTTATACAAAAACAAAAATAAGTAAATGAAACTACGTTAACCCAATAAAGGACCTAAGACGACAATAAGCCAACATGTATATGAATATATTACAGTATTGTGCAAAATCAAATAAAACAAACAACAAATAATGAAAGAAATTTATTTTTGGATATATACTCTAACTTTAAAAGCCAAATGTATTATTACATAGATGATTCCATGGGTCAATTATTATTAGATAACCACAGTAGTCTCCTGTTGGAGAGAAAACTTACCCCATATCAAAAACGAACGACAAATTAATCAAAAAACGTGAACGATTCATAAACCTTGAGTTAATGGACGTATCGAATTTTTATTTCTTAACAAACAGATATATGCTTTTGATAGTGGAAAGCAATATCAACCAAATGGCCACTACTAGCACTTTTACAGGACCATATCCTTGTCATGAAATTTTACATATCCAAATAGCAAAGAGGCTGTCATAAGTCATCACTATCCTTATCAAATCTATCTTTGGGGTCTAAAAACGACTCAAGACTGCTACGACATAAATTTGTCAATGCCCTTCTAGTATTTTTTGGGCAATTGGTGGTCCTGATGGTCTACTTATTGATTTACGTTAAAAAATTATCTTTAAAAAAATCCCCATCTATGGTAGACCTTGAAAAATTTGTCTTTAAAAAATTCGGGCCTGTGGTAGACCTTGAAAAATTGTCTTTAAAAAATCCACGACTGTGGTAGTCATCACTATTCTTATCAAATCTATCTTGGGGGCTAGAAACGACTCTAGATTTTACGAGGACATTATCTTTATTTTCATTCCCAAGGAAGAAGGACATTATCTTTATTTTCGTTCCCAAGGAAGAAGTTGTAAGGTGTCAAATCCCAAGGTCTCAGTGGTCACCCTCACGACATACATTTTTTAATGTCCTTTTAGTTTTTATTATGACGAATCGGTCATTTATAGTAGAGTAAATGTCTATCTGCTTGTCGATTTACCTTGAAAAATTATTTTTAAAAAAAATCCCCGCCTATGGTAGACCTTGAAAAATTGTGGTCTTTAAAAAATTCACGCCTGTGGTAGACCTTGAAAAATTGTCTTTAAAAAATTCGCGCCTATGGTAGACCTTGAAAAATTGTCTTTAAAAAATTCGCGCCTGTGGTAAACCTTGAAAAATTGTCTTTAAAAAAATCCCCGCCTGTGGTAAACCTTGAAAAATTGTCTTTAAAAAATCCACGCCTGTGGTAGCTCTTGAAAAATTGTGGTCTTTAAAAAATCCTCGCCTGTGGTAGACCTTAAAATGTCTATCTGCTCATCGATTTACTCTGTAGATCTAAATCTACTCTTCTAGTTCTGCAATTATCGCCAGCATCTCAATTTAGAATAATATCCAAAAATAAATCTCCCCTTAAATGTTCCCCTTCTTGTAGTTTATATTTCGTTTAAATTATTTTTTTACATTTCTTTGTAGTTGTGTTAATTTTTTCTTTGTCCATTTAATTTTGTTCTCTGTAGTTTTGCACAACACTGTTCTAGAAATATGAAAATGTATTCATACGCACGCACGCACCCATCCAACATTGGTAATTTTATTTATGACACCTATGTTCATCTTCATGTGTGTGCGTGCGTGTAATACACCAAAGTATTTCTTCTTCGTGCACCCAAGTAAAATGTGTTCTAATATCCTTCTCTACATATATATATCCATATACATACATATTGACATGTATACACATGAATGCATAAATTCATACATAATTTATTATTATGTATACATGCAAGAAAAAAAAACATTGATATTTACATACACAGGCACAACACTCACACATCTGTCTATCTATCTACCCATATTACATTATGCTTGTACTTGTGCGTGTGTATGTAAAATGGAAAATGTTTAAAAACAAGAAAACATTACTTAAACTTACAGACAAGGTGACGATGGTAGTGTTGGCCCCGTTGGTCCTGTTGGCGACACACGAATGCATGAAGCCATATCACACACCTGTCTAAGTTCATCAGCTGAATATGAATTGGCTTTAATATTGAAAGAGTTAAGATGGATAACTGATCAGGTAAGCATACATTTACAGAGTACTGCCACAACGAAAAAACAAAAACACAGAGATTGTTAACTCACTGTGACATACATACATATACAACAAAGTTAAAGTGAGAAACAAACAAAAAAAAGTGAAAATTAAAAAAAGAGGACAATATCTCATTGACATTGTTTGGAAAAATGAGAAAACAAACACTGAAATGAAAAGTAAAAGTGTAGTAGTGATATTACAGGGTGACTCGAATGTATGGATACAATAAAATAAAAAATGGGTTGACTTTTTAAAATAACAATTCATAAATCAAAATAATGATAATTATTATTATTTCAATTTAATATAAGGATAAATATTAATTCTTTATGAAAAAAAATATATTTAAATAATTAATATTTAATATATTTAATATTTTTTTCTCCTAAACTTATGGACATATAGTAATATAAACTTAATTTTTATTTATTATTTTATATATAAATATATTAAAATCTTTTCAACTTTCAAATCTTCTTAATTAATTAATGACAATTAAATATTCATATTTCATTTCATTAAAATAAAAATAAATACATATATATTTATAATATTAATAAGAATGTCAAACACATAAAAATACATTTTTTAAACCCTTATTAACCATTATCTTTAATATATATTTAAAATATCCAATGATAAGCGTTGAAAATAAATAGTCTTTAAGGATCTAAGCCTGGGAAAGTCATTGGAAAATATTCTTTACAAAATCCCAAACCTGTGGTAGGCTTTGAAAAATATTCATTAAATATTTAAAGCCTTTAAAAGTCCCAACCCTTTGTTATACTATAATTTTTTTTATATCTCAACTATAGGTGATAGGGCCTTGAAAATATATTTTGTTAAACAATCCCAAACCAGTGATAGGCCTTGATCTTTTTTTTTTTGAAAATCCTAAGCCTGTGACTTTAATTTATTTGTTTTAAATAAAATTCCAATTCCAAGCTTGAACGATATTTTTCACATGCATATTATAAGCCTTGAAAAATACATATTTAAAACCAATGAGCGGAGCAGTATAGCCGGACGGGGCCGACCATACGATACCCTACACAACTACCACGGAACTCAACTTTTCTGCGGATGTTTATTCCGAGCCTGGGCAATATTTAGTGGAGGAAAACAGCACCTCTTCTTCACACTGACTATTTTCCGAATATTACGAGTATTCAGTACAGCTATTGTCCAGATTCCCTTCACTGTGGGTTGTGTTGTGATGTTCGGCTTTCATTTGTGGTCTTTAGATCGACCCGAAAATAACACAAAAAATTATTATCTGATCATCACCAAATATTATAGGCGTTGTCCTTGACCATAATTGGAATCTCATGGAGCATTTCAAAGCGATCAGCGTTATAGTTCCGCTCTCTAGAGTGATAATGGGTGTAACTCCCACATCCGAGCACATACAACAATATAATTGGCATTTATTTAAAGGTCAACCACTCCTCTTGGATATAATATCAACTTCTCGGGTCTATGTCCTTCAGGGGTAAATATATACACTATAGAATACAAATTTTGTCATTTTTCACACAAAAGTCAGGGTCCATTTAACCCGCTAAATATTAACCGATCTTTATCTTTATTCTTTGGCCCGATCCCCTTCTCCATGCAAAATTTCACGATGTTCGGGCCATTATTTATAATGGACAGACGGACGGACGGACACACATGTCTATATCGACTCAGCTAGTCGAGATATGACGATCGGTATACTTAAAGGTGGGTCTAGGACCAATATTTCGCGGCGTTAAAAACTTTTAGGGCTGCACAAAGCTATAATACCCTGACAACATAGTTGTGTAGGGTATAAAAATTCCCAAGCCTACAAAATTCCAAACATGTGATAGGCTTTGAACAAACTGCCGACAGAAAATTCCCAAAATTAATTAATCTTTAACAAATCCACGCCTTAGATAGTTCTTGAAAAAATCCACCCTTAGATAGTCTATGAAAAAAATAATCATTAAAAAATCCCATGCCTGTGATAGCCCTTGAAAAAATTAGTCTAAAAAATCACAAGCCTGTGGTAGGCCTTAAAAAATCCCAAGTCTGTGATAGGGCTAGGAAAAAAACGAATCTTATAAAAAGCCCAAGTCTGTGATAAGCCTTGAAAAATTAATTTAAAAAAAAATCCCAAGCCTTGAAAAAATTAATCATAAAATCCCAAGCCTATGGTAGGCCTTGAAAAAATTAAATTAATTAATAGTACTTACATACTTAGCTGGCTTGTGACAGAATGGTTGTTCCATAAGCCGAACTTAAAAAAGTTTTCCAGGCGTGTCGGTCTTGTGCGCATCTCATCTAATTTGAAAAACCATTTTCCGAGATGATGTCTTCTAATTGATCTTTCCATGGGATTTGTGGCCTTCCCCTTCGGCGTGAACCATCACTTGGCTCGCTTTTATATGCCTTTTGAGCTGGGGCATCTTCATCCATTTTCACAAGATGGCCTAACCAACGTAGTCGCTGCAGCTCAGGGATGGTCCGTGTGACGAATTTTTAGGCTTTCGACTGTCAAAAAGGTGTAAACGTCGAAAACGTCATATACCTGTATAAAATGTAATAAATGTAGTAAACGTCATTTATTTGAATATTATTACCATATACAGTTATTTTCATGAATATATATTATTTTTACATATATCTGACTATTCCTTACTATAACTGATAAAAAAATTCTTAAAATTTTGAAAAAAAAATAAAAAAAAATGTATACGGATTTAAGTAAAGCATACGTAATTTCCAAATTGATTAAGGGAAATAGCTATTTTGTCAAGAACCTAATGGTTTTGGTTAGGTTTCCGACGTTTCTGACGTATGTATTATACGTCGGAAATGTATGTAATTTACGTCACTGTTTCTGACGGACCATCTCTGCTGCAGCTCGATCCGTCTGACTATGTCGATGTTCGAGAATAGATGGTATAACTAATGTTTCATTCGATGGGGATGTTCACCACCGACGCAGATCGGTCCATAGATCTTTCGGAGAATTTTTCCCTCAAACACTCCAAGAGCTGCTTTATCTGCTGGCGCAAGTACCCATGCTTCAGATCCATACAACAGCACGGTTAATATCAGCGTCTTGTAGAGTGTGCATTGGGTCTGGTGAGAGTGGCCTTGTTTCTAAACTGCTTACGTATCATTTGTTGACCATCACTACCCTTCTCCGAATTTCATTCGTTTTATTTATGGCGGTACCAAGGTATATAAAATCTTTGACTACCTCGAAGCTGTAGTTTTCAAGTTCCACTGTTGGTCCGAGTCTACTGGACGTCTTGCGCGTTGATACCATCAACTTGGTCTTTTCGTCATTTACAGCCAGTTGCACTTTGGCAGACTCCTTCTCAATTCGTTCAATGGTGGCTGTTACCGCTCGCAATGTTCGACGCATTATATCGATGTCTTCGGCGTTTGCGATTAACTTATGCTGTACAGAGTGCCATTTCTGTTCACATTTGCATCTCCTATGACCTTTTCCACCAGGATGTTAAACAGATCGCACGACAAACTGTCACCTCGCCTAAATCCTCGTTCGGTATTGAAGGATCCGAGAGGTCCTTTCCGACATTAACTGCTGACCTCGTGACAGTTAAATTTATTCGGCATAGCCTT